CTTCTGTGGTGTGAGGACACTAAGTCAACTTCCATGAACAGGGATCATTAAAACGAGGGAACAAACCCCAAACCCATAGCCAGCACTTCATTCAAAGAATTGTGATCTTCTGAAGCTGGAAGGCTAAAAAGCCTGATGATTTTAACAGGGTGGAATGGAGATAAGGAGTTCTCCTGAAGGGTCTTTGATTCTGGAGCTGACCTTCCTTCACTATTAGTCCTCCCTACCACACAGACTGTCTTATCTTCAAAACATATTCAAACACTTCTCTTTCCAGCTTTTTGGCAGTGGTAATTAACCAGATTTCTAAGATTTTTCTCTGCTGGTGATGTGGATCATTTACTAAGCTGAACATTCTTATTAATAACGATTTACAATACTTATGTGACCAGATGGATGCATTATAAGTACAAACAAATAATTGCAAATGTGACTATAAGCTGCATGTCGATTCTCTTCTTTGTTTTGCATTCATATCTACATATTCTACTCATCAAAATACTGGACTGAAAGATTGTAGAGTAGTTTACTTAAGATCAGCATAGTGCATTGTGGCTTTCCTTTTCCGAATCCTTTAATTTCACTTTCATACTGCTTGCACTACTCATAGAAAAAATGGTGAAGTGTCTTGTCTCCCCCTCATTTTAGATACCCCTGCTCTTCTGTCTTTTCCTTTAGCATGGTAAACCATAACATGTAAGGGACCTCTGACAATGAAGGAACTCAAATACTGGTTCCCAAAATGTAGTATTCCAGAAATCACTTTTCTTACTGCTCAGCTTGTTATGATGGTAATAGGAACTATTTCTAGAGTTTGAATCTGGGCTTCTGTACTTTGGCCTGACTGAGTTATCCTTTTCAGTTACCATTTTGAATGGATTGGGAATTTGTTATTCATCCTGTTCACAAATAGTGAAAAGACTAGATGAGCATCTTATAAACAGCAGTTTCTTAATCTTTTGCTGGGGCCTTGCTCTGTGAGGAATGCAAAGACTAGGGTTGAGATAATAGTGGTGGTGTGAAGGACTGTCAAAGAGGAATTCACTGATGCAATAAGGTTGGACAGGCCTTCTGTAGGATTGGACTCTGTTTCCTGAAAAGTCCTCAGTAGTGTGAACATTGGTGTCAGCAAGCTAGACTGTCCAAGGTAAATCAGTTTGTAGCAAGTTAAATTTGAAATTATGATGCAACGGCAACCCTGCTCTAACTGGTTATTTGGTTATTTTTCTAAGATAAGAGGTAGTCTCCTTTGCTTTCAATGTAAAATAGTGTATCTTGTGGGAAGAAGCCCTCAAAATGTGCTAAGTATCTGCACAGAGAGCTTGTGTGGAAGTCCAGCTTTCCCAACTTCCCACTGTGTAAAGAAGACTTGCATCTTCAGCATCCTCCACAAAACCTTCTGCTAGAAGAGAAGGTCTTTAAGGAATCCTCTGTGGGTCACTTTGCAAACGAATTTCATCTAACCTCTCTCCATCTCTTACAGGGGTTATTGAGACTATTACACAGCATTGATATAATCTGAAACAAGCTGGGTAATTTATGTAATTCTCTACTGGCTTGAATCCCGCAGTCATTGACACCTCCACAAAGAGAGCGCCACTCAAGAATTCTCCACTTTCCTAGAACAGTGATAGGGTTTTGCTATCACTTGTACTCTTTGCACAAGAATAAATGAGTGAACAGTGTGCAAAGCAGGAGAAAGTCGCCTTTTTTTTTTTTTTTTGTTGCTGTGTGAAAGACAATGTCATTGGGCCAAAATCTAGACTTCATTTTGCCACAAGAAAACTGGGGTAATTGTGCTTATATAGTTGCAATTTCCATACAAATTAGGATTTGACTCTACTCTTCTTACAAATTACCATCCAAATCAGAATATGAACAGTTCACATGAGCAGAATCACTTGTAATGATGGTTTAAATGATTTAAATTTAGATCCCTTCATACAGCAGTTAAAAATATAGTTGATCCATTCTGCCATAGTGTGACTTTCAAGTCAGTTCACTTTAATTCACTTTTGATAGTTTTGTTTTCTTCATTTAAAGTAAGTTGTGCTTTTTTTGATACAGTAGACTAGGATCAGGATCTCCATATCCAAAAAGCAAATCATGCCATCTTGAAAAATCTGTTATGGGCTAGTTCTATGATTTCTTGCCACTTGAAATAGTATCCATTAGTGTGAGCAGTTGTAGTCCTATTAAAGACATGACAATACAAATTAACAGGATTGTGTCTGTAGCTCACCAAGAGCAACAAATCTTGCTGTATTTATCTTTTGAGGTCATTTGGAGGTACGATATTCGAATTTTCTTTCCTGAGGTTACGGAGTAGATTGGGGATGCACTGACTCATCATTGGGTAAGGTGGGAAGGCAATGGGAGCTTCAGCTAAATTTTCCTCTCTTGGGCTGCTACTGGTTTTTTAAAACCAGTATGTTATGAAACCTCTCCAAAAGGTCTCAACACTGATTTAGCATGTAAGTGCCTCCTGCTGAGGATGCTCACAAATGGGAAAGTATGTATATACAAACAGGAATTTGTCCATTCAGAGAGTGAACAAATGCTTCTGCGATGCCAAAGGGTGGTGCATAGCAAAAGTTTTGCAGGTCCATGCATCCTGTGCATGCACACATAGCTTTTACATAAAGAGACAAAGATATCTTCATCTGCACGACAGATAGACAAACAGACTGACTGACTTCAAACTTGCACTTTCAGTAGGGATTTTTTCCCCCCCATCTCTGGGTACTGCTTTTCAAAATTGCCCGAGGCTACAGTACAGCACCTCAGATCCCCAAGGCCCATTGCCTGGCTCCTAATAGCCACTCTCCATCTGTGTCACATGAACAGCTGATGAGATAGCTCCAGTGTCTGTATTTTGGAGAGCATATCCACCCAGGTTAAAATGCTGGGGTTGCCAAGGAGCAGTCAGAAGCCATTAGTGTTTGTGAGAATTTGCCTTGCAGCAGTTCCTTGGCATAGTGGAAAGTGTGTGTGTGTGTGTGTGCGTGTGTGTGTGTGCGCGCACGCGTGTGTTGTGAGAGAGAGAGAGAGGTAGGGTGTAATATGGGGGACGGGGACGGTGGTGTACAGAGCAATGGGTAGGAGTGCTTTCTAAATATCCAACATCTTGCAAAAGCGAACAGTTGGTTACAGCATTTAGGGCTTCCATAATCTCTTTGATTAGTTTGCTGTGATTCAAGTCTCCTTTCTCTATATTTAACAGAAACAAACATTAAAAAAAAAGAAAAAAAAAAGAAAAAAAAGAAAAAGAAGCATGAGAAATAAAGCAGTGACTTCAGGGTCTTGCTCTGGTGTTTGGGCAGATGGAAAGGAGCTGCTCTGCCTTGGGGCAGGGTGGTTGTAATGAAGTGGCCTGTCAGTCTGTAAATAGTGAGGGTCATCTCTTCCATGTGATGGAGGGTATCACATTGCAGTGAAAATGGAAATGTCAATAAAATTAATCTGCCAGCTCTTTGCTGTGGCTTTTTCTGTCTCTCTGGTCCAAAAGGGTTGGTTTTTCAAAGCGGAGGCAGTAGAAGAAGGGTGATCTGGTACAGGAGGGAAGATGGAGCTGAAATGCAAGTTTTGAAGCAAATGGACTGTATGTAGCAGCAACGTATTTTGTTTAGTAGCACTACAGAGCTAGACAAAGCTATAGGAATTAGCTCATGAATCTATAGCATTCCTCAGGAAGCTATGGAGCGTCTAGCTCAGGCTACATTGAGCACAGAGTTTATTGTTTTAGGCTTTCTTGGACAAGGTTTTTACTTAGCATGGGATTTATGGCATTTACTGCTAATGAATGTCTATTCTTAAATTACAAAAACCACCGTCTCAGCACAATTCCCAGATGTCCTTCCAGGACCTCAGCTTCTTAAACACCAGCAGGGAGCATAAACTCTCCACTTCTCTGTTTTCCTCTTTCGTGTGGCTCCGGGCTAATGATGTGTAAGGAAAACACAGCAATCTATAAAGTCTCAGTGCTGTCCCAGTATTCTTCATTTATTTTGCATTTGATTATGCCACAAGTCGGATCTTGTTTCTTTCCTTTTTTTAAAGTTATTAGTTCAAATATTAATGTAGGAATATGGCATATATTGCTGCTCTTGATTGATGCCTTCCCAAAAACAGGAAGACGTGCTCGTATGAATTTTAAGAAAGTAGGGGTCCTGCAATGCCTTGCCAGAAGAGTTTTTCAGATACATAATTTAGATGCCCTCCAGGCAGGCTTTCAAGGCATTTTTGCTGGAGGGCAAGAAAAAATAACTATGACTGTTAAAAGTAAATGATTTTTGCTAATGCACAATTAATGCCAGGGAAAAGCACAGAAGAGAAAGATGTTGATGGAAAGTTCTGATTAAGTGAGAGCTCTACCTTGATGTGCATCTTTTTTTTTCTTTTTTTTTTTTTAATGATAATAATCACTGAGGCAGAGATGTAGAAGTTTTCATGTCATGCAAATGCTGTATGCAGGGTCATACTAGGTGTATGTGTTTGTGCGTGTGTATGTATGTGTGTTGGGAGGTGATGGTTATGGGGAGGGGTTCATCTGACAGTGTGTTATGTGCACTGAACGGTGACATGGTTACTGCCACCTCTGCAGAGGGCCTCGAATATATAGACTACAGCACATTTAACTTGATTACTTATAGTATGTATTCAGAATGGTTGTAGGGATGCATTTACAGTGAATGGGTTTTCTTGTGGCAGGTTTTCCCACATTGAATCCCATAATTGACAAAGAGCTATTGCACTATGTCAAGCACACAATTTAATTGAATTAATGATATATGCATGTGTGAAACACAAAATTAGTATTTGGAGAGACATGGTTTCTAATTTTTACTTATTTGTATCAGCACTTGTATATAATGAGAAACTGTATGTGTCTGAACTAGCAAATCAAAATAAGACTGTAATAGTGTCTTGGTAGCTAATAATACTTTTTGGCTTCTATATTTTGTTCATTAAATGTCTCCCTGTTTTTCCTTTTGTTGTAGGAGATGGTTTAGACAACAGCGTAGCCTCACCTGGTACAGGAGATGATGATGACCCAGACAAGGACAAAAAGCGTCAGAAGAAAAGAGGCATTTTCCCCAAAGTAGCAACAAATATCATGAGAGCATGGCTTTTCCAGCATCTCACAGTAAGTGGTGCCCAAAATCAAAATAGATTTCTATTCATGTGCCTAATGTGGTTTATTCATCGTTATTACAGATCAGTTGTCCCCATAATTTTTGGACCATTATTAAGGCTCAATTATTGCTGCTTATTCTTTTTCGTCTAGATTTTTTTCCTTGGCTCTTGGAATCATGACAAATCTTAAGGAAACCCTATAAATATATATGTGTATCTACACACATACATGCCTATAGAGAAAAAGAGGGATAGTACAAAGCCTTAGCATGGAATACCACCTACATATAAAGCAACCATTTTTTGCTTTGAACTATTAAAAATGTTTCTAAGGACAAAAAAGGGAGTTTCTTGCTTTGGCATTTATAAAACTCTGCCTTCTTGATTTTTTATTGCTGGCCTCTGCTTACAAGATCTTCACATGTATCTGGTGGAAGATAGAGCCCCAGTCACTGAGTGCTGAAATACACTGTGGATGTTAGAGAAGCCAACATAGCAACTTGCAAACTTGTCACTGTTACTTTTTGTGAGAAATACAGAAGGTTTATGTGTTCCTTAATTCGCCTGTTGCATAACAGACACAATAAACACCGTTTCTGCTTCTCTGTAAGTCCATATGTAAAAAAACCCTAGCCATATTTACATTTGGGGGAGAGAGATTAAATATGAGAAAAAGCAATGCTTTCTGTGGGCTTTGTCGTCCGGCTTGCAATTGGGATTATGTGTTAGCGTTCTGTTGATTATTATAACTTCACTTAGGCATCAAAACACGGTTCCACCCAGTAGCACTCTTTGTAGTTTACTTCATGTGGAAAATAATGGAAACTGGTAAAATTATCAATTGATTTTCTTCTTCCTCTCCCTGTAAAATTGTTTCTCACTTGCAAAGGCTTAAAATGCTAACTGTTATTAACTACCATTTCTTCTACCAAAGTTTTATAAATTTCCACAGTAGCTGATGTTGGTTACAGTGTAATGATTTCAGGACAAGGTACCGGATTTATTTATGATAGTGACTATCGAACTGCTCTGCTAGCAGCACAGCTAAAGGGGGGAGCAATAGATCCACATTTCTAAACCATCATTTTGATGTAAGGACATTAGTAGCAAACTAAGGTGCATTGATCTGGCCTGTGGGGTCAGGATTAGCTGAAATAGCCAGTGTCTCTGCTGGAGTAGTGGTTATTTCTGCCTCCCAGCTATGGCCATTTCAAAGGTCAGGTGCCCTGTACCCACTTGGCTCAGAGGAATTAGACAGAACATGAGTCTCTGGGCTGATTACTTAACCAAAGACAAAATAATGAGTCCTAAGCAAATACTGACTAATTGAAAGGGCTGTAAATCCATTACATATTGGTCAGGGATAATCAGGAGTATTTAATCACTTTTATCTATTCAGGAGCACTGAAGCTGCAACAGCAAAGCCCTGAACCTTGCCATGTGCTTATTATTCTCATCATTATCAAAATTACTTCACAGCTGTTCTTTGCTACATCACCTCAGCTGGAGATTTACTAACCTGTAAAATGTTTTTAATTTGGAAGTCGAGTGAGTGTGAGTGGAGGGTTTTAGGGTTTTTCATTTAGCTGTAGGATACCTTTGGAGGAGTAGTACAGGCAGACAGCAAAAAGCAGGGCCACAAATAAACCAGTCTCTGTGTTAATTCCATGTCTCTGTGTTAATTCCATTTCCTCTCATGAAATTCGTGATACCCTGTTTTTTTCTCCCTGCCTTCCTTTCTCATGTGCTCATTGAAACATTCGACACATACTTATTAACAGCCAACTGCCTCTCACTTCTCTTGAGGAAAGTCCTCCTGGCTTTTTGAAATCCCTTTTCCTTGATTCCACCCTCTCTTTCCTGACCCTCTTCATCCTGCATGAACTGGGGAAATTTGCCATCACTGGTGAGGATGGTCTCACAAAAAATCAAATTAAACGAACACAAAAAGCCCCAAACCTTTTACTGTCCAAGCTTTAATGAGTTTGCAGGTGTTGAAAGATTTACTGTGCTGTAATTCTCAGACCTGCAAACTGATAATGGAGACCCCTGACCAGCGCAATGTAAATTCAGAGAGATTCTTGCCATAAACACATGCAGGGAGGAAGAGAACTCCTTTCTTTTAAAGATCTTGCATTTTTTTCTCAAATTAGCTTGTCCATTTAAAGCGCAATGCTGGCTGAGCCAGAACGGGGGAATCTGTGATGTACAATTTTATTGTTTCAAGTAAATATCTTTACAATGGCAGTCCATGATTCAATGTACATTCCTTCATTACTACTCTAACCTTATTTCAAATTGGTTTGTTCCTCCTTTGTGCTGTATGACCTGTTCTTGTATTACAATAATCCCCTGATGTACCCTTTTTTCTTTCTCTCTCTCTCTCTTTTTTTTTTTAAGAAACTAATTGAATTATCTCATTATTTTAATTTGTTAAGCAAATGTATTTTACATCTCAGGATGTGTTCTTAAAGAAGGAGCTGCTTAGGCTTTGCCCCCTGAATGGGCCATTGGTACATTTTGACATTCATGCATTCATTAAGGAGAGGAACATAAAAGAGCTCTGGTTGTATTTTTTTTCAAACACCCAACCAGCACAGAGCAACTTTTCCATAAGCCACAGGGGTCTCTCTACATATGTTCTCAACTGCAAGCCATTGTCACCTATTCTGAATACCTCAAAAGGACAAATAAAATACTAAAGGCCAACTGTAGCAATTGTTAGCTGTTAGTTTCAATATGACAAAAATCATTAACCTCTGGTTTCCCTGGAAAGAGAAGCAGTGGCAGTCCATCTCTTATGTCATGGATTAAACTTCAAATTCCTCTAGACTGTCAAATTCAAAGAGTAACTTAGTACTGACTAATTGTATTTATTTATGATTTTAGAGAAAATGTTACCTTTTTTTTTCCCTTATTCAGTCAGTTTGCAAACTCCTAAGGTAGCCAGTGTTAAAAACTGAATTGCCTATGTGGCTTTTTTTGAAGAGGCAGGCACTTGAACTCTGATGTAGAATGAATATATCTTACAGGCTGTGTCTTTCAAAACAATTTCTAACCCCTATCACAGCTTCCATTTTGCAATAACTTTAATTATATTTGAAATAGGATACACATACATGTTTTTATTGCTGGAAATTAAATGCAAGGAGTAGGAGCTTCTTGCATGTTCTCATTTGCTTACTGAGCTTTGTCTTACATTTGGAATTACAACGGTACCAGAAGATGAAAGATCTGAGGATGAATTGGTTGGAAATGTGTATGCTTTTTCTGGATAACATCCAGTGTTTAAGAAAGTAGAGGAAATCCTAGTTTGGTAGTATAAGCTTTTCAATAGTACATAAAGATTACAACATCAGAAAGGTAAACCTGACATTAAGACTGTTTTTATTTGAGTTCAAAGGTGGTTAAAGAAAAGAAACAGCAAGAAATCTGACCCAAGCCGAGAGTTTATTCATAGCTTTGGAATACTCCTTTTCCTCTATGCCAAGGAGTCCTTAGTACACTCAATTAGCCTCTCAGACATCTCTGCTTTCCTCCCTCAAGTGCTCCCCTATTTGCCCTGCAAAGAACATATTTGATCATGAAGTGAAAACAGGAAGTGCTCAAATGCATAGACACCTCGAGCTTACACCAATGCTGAGATTAGGATTTCTTACCAGCAACTATACACAGCAGGCCCCCCTCCTTCTATGTCCTTTTGAAGGATGGAGGACCTTTAAAACGTATGTACATAATCAGAAAAGAATAAAGTTATAAAGGAAACAATTATACCATTCTATGGACTTCTACCTCTGGTAGTTCATTGCTTTCTGTAGCATAGTTTATCAAGGACTACACTTTTGCTACAGTCAATGTTTTCCCCGCTTCTTTGACAGAGCTAGTAGAACAGAGACATGTTTATTCTTTGACATTTACCTGGAGTCATGCCCTTTGTTGAAATTCTATTTTGGTTGTTTCTTTCGTTACTCTATGTAAGAAGAACTATATCTTAATGAAAGGTACCAGATATAACAAAGGTAGCCTGCAAACTAAACCTTTTTTATGACAGTGCCAGATTCCTAGCTGATGATGTCTGGGGTTTCTCCCCCAAAGTCAGTGGAGTTGAGTTGGGTTTTTTGCTTTATTTACTAGCTGAAATTCTGTCTCCTAACATTTGTTTGAACAGTGTCATCTTCACCCGATCTCCAAAATTTTCTGGCTGAAATCTTGCTTTATACATAGTCTCTTGTAGAGTAGATTTTGGATTGATCTGCTTTGGTGTCAGGATAGAGTAAGTTCTACTGGGAAGTGTTAAAATGAATCTGCCACAGCCTCTGTACTTACCTGAATTAATTTTCTTAACTTGTCATATTCAGGTGTCCAGATTGAATGATATGAATAGTCTTACTGAAACAGATTATACTTTTTTTCCTGCTGTATTTATGTGGGTGTATCTGAGAATATAATGGTTCTCTCATATTTTGATGAATGGCTTACCAAGCCTTTTATACAGTGCTGCTATTTTATTTATTCGTTAGATTTGATTCTAGAGATGAATGTCATCAACTAAAGTCAATCTTGGAGCAAGCTTTCAAAACAGTTGTAACCATCCAACCTTCATAAATACCCCGTCCCATATCATGATTTTTGGAATAAAACCTAAAGGAGGGTTAGGAACATAGCTTGTGATTGCAGTCCACACAGAAAACAGCTTACTTTCATACCAAAGAGTAGACCAGCTTTCTGCAGAGTCGGGCTCTAGGAAAAGCGTTCTTCACATTGTTGGTTTTGCTGTACTTTAAAAAAACAAAACAAAACAAACAAACAAACAAACAGAAAACAAAAAATACAACAGACCTTTGTCCAGTTAAAATGGTGCAAGGGCAGCTGGGAGACGAAGAAGATACAGGAATGAGAAGACAATTTTAGCACATATTGTGGACTGCATTGTAATGCGTTAGACACTCCCAGGGTACACTGAGGAGACGGACGATGTCCTCAATTCTCCTGTAAAACACCTTGCATGTG